CAACCTAGTTTGACTAATTCTAACTTAGTTTCAATAGTATGTAAACACTCTGCTCCTTTGTATCTTTGTCCCTCACCTTAATATGGTTATTGTCACAGATTACGTCTTATTACTTTGTGTGCCTATTAGCATAGATTCACAATTATTGTTTTTTTCATTTAACTTTTAAATCTATAGGAAAAAAGAATTATAAACCAAGCTTGATAATACCAGTTTCTATATTTACCTATGTTGTTATGTTTTTCAGTAGTCTTTATTTCTGTATATAGCTTTGAATTACTATCTAATGTTCTTTTATCTCGTCCTAAAGGACCTCACTTTATCATTTCTTGCAGAGGAGGTTTACTGGTAACAACATCCTTAGATTTATCTGGAAATGTCTTAATTTCCTCTTCATTCCTTTAAAATAATTTTTATTTACTGATTGATTTTGGAGAGAGAGGAAGAGAGACACATACAGAGAGAAACACTAATTTGTTATTCCACTTACTTATGCATTCATTGGTTGATTCTCATATGTACAACCTTAGCGTATTGGGATGATGCTTTAATCAACTGAGCTACCTGTACAGGGCTTGCCTCTTCTTCATTATTGAAAGTATAGTTTTGCCATATATAGAATTTATGATTTTTCTTCTAGCTATTTAAATGTCATACCACTGCCTTCTTCTGTCACTTTAAATGTGATCCACTGCCTCTATGGTTTCTGATGAGAAAACTGGGTGTTAAACTTTTACGTGATGAGTTGCTTCTTTCTTGTGCTTTCAAGATTATCCTTTGTCTTTGGCTTTTTACTGTTTGACTTACAATGTATCTCATGTGATTTCTTTAATTTTATCACACTTGCAGTTTGTTGAGCTTCTAGATGTGTAGGTGTGTCTTTTATCAAATTTGGGAAGTTTTTGACCATTGTTTCTTTATATATTTTCTACCCTTTCTTCTTCTGAGAGTTCCATGATGCGCATGTTGGTGTTGGTACATTTAATGGTCCTACAGATGCCTCGGATTGTGTTTGTTTTTCTTTATTCTTCTTTCTACCATTTAGGCTGGATAATATCATTTGTTTTATCTTTGCTGACTTTTTTTTTTTCTTCTGCCTGCTTAAATCAGCCATTGAATTCCTTTTACGAATTTTTAATTTCAGCTCATATTTGTTTCCTAGGTCTGCCATAACAAAACATCACAGACTAAGTGACCTAAATAACAGAATTTACACACACACACACACACACACACACACACACACACACACAATTCTAGAGGCCAGAAGTCTGAGATTGTGGTGTTGGAAGAGTTGGTTTTTTTCTGAGCGCTTCTTAGCTTGCAGATGGCCACTTTCCCACTGTCTTCATATTACACCACCTCCCTCCCGTGTGTCCAAATTTCATTTCTTACCAACAGGCCAGTCAGATTGGATTAAGGCCCACCCTGAGGGCCCCATTTTAACTTCATTGCCTTTTTAAAGGCCTTATATCCAAATATAGCTACATCTGGAGTACCAGAGTTTACAGGGTTTCAACATATGAATGCAAGAGGGGATACAATTCAGCCTATAACATAGCTATTATTCTTTTAAGCTCCAGAATTTCTATTTGGTACCTTTCCATAATTTCTAACTCTTCGTTGACATTGTTCCCTGATTTCCTTTAGTTCTTTGTCATATAGGGTTTTCATTTTGTTTGTTTTTAACAATCTGATACACAAGGTTATTGATTTAACATCTTTAACTAGTACTTCTAATATCTGAAATTTCTGATTCTTTTTTCCCTGTGAATACTCCATATTTTCCTTTTTCTTTGTGTAATTTTTAGTTTTGGTTAAGAACTGGAACATTTTGAGTATTCTAATGCGGGACTCTTGAAATAGATTCTTCTCCTCCGAAGCAATTTCCTTTATTACTTATTGAGGGCTGCAGTTGCCTGTTTGAACAATGATTTTTTTTCCAAACTATTTTTCAAAGTCTATAATATTCCTTGTTGTATATACTCACTGAAGTTTCTACTGCTTTATCTATGTGGTCACACTGTGACTTGACAACTATTTCCTCAAATGCTTGGCCCAGAGGAATGCAGGTGAACATATGTTGTTTTTTTAAACTTTATGGTAGATGCTGCCGGGGAAGCCACTGCAATCTGAGGAATCCAAACAAAGCTGTGTGGGTCAACCAGACTGGCCAGGGGCAAACCCCCCAATTTTTGGAGGACATGGCCCTTGTAGGAATGTGGGCCAGTGTCCCCCAGGCTATGGCCGGGCTGAGGAACGGGGATTGTAGCTAGTTTGGACATGCTGCTTTCTTAGGTTCAGCTGCTTAGGTTCACCTTAAGAAGGGAGAGGCTGTAAGTTGCTGAAAGTGTCCTATCAGATCCCAGGGTTCCAGAATAGTTGATTCTGATCATTTTAACAGCTTACTGGTTGTTTTGGTTGAGGAACTGACCTCTTGAGCTTTCTACTTCACCATCTATATATAGAAAAGGCTAAGTAACTGGGCGAGATGGTAGGTATGACACGCACTGACCACCAGGGGGCAGACGCTCAACGTAGGAGCTGCTAAGCAATAGCAACTTTGCAGAGAGCCCTCTTGCACTCCGGGACCCCTTGGTGATGTCCGACTGTCGGTTTTGGCCGATCCCTATAGGCCAGGCAGAGGTCCTCCACCTGCTGGAGGGACCCCGCTCACTCCACAGATGTCCTTCGAGCTCCAGTGCCACCTCAGGTGTGGCTGGCCAAAGAGGGACCATGGGAGATTGGCTCAAGGGCTTGTCCAGCCCATCTAGCCCAGTCCTGCCCCACTGGCCACCTTCTAATTAATTTCCTTTCAATGTGCACGCCACAAAACCCAGAGTCAAGTCACCACCCACCCGTGGGCACCTCGAAATCGTGTGAGACCCAAACTCCCTGAGCCCCATCCCCATTGGGTGAGATCCAGACTCAGCTGGCCCAACACCCTCAAGCACTGCCAGGTGGAGGGTGCGGCCTGATGTCCCCCAGCCCAGGCTGGGGCGGGGGGGGGGGCATGCCTGAGGTCCCCTGTCAAACCCCACCAGGCGGGCACAGCCTGAGGTTCCCTGGCTGGGTGTTGGGGCAGGGGCGTGGCCTCAGGTCCCATCCCTGGCCTTGTGCCACACAGCCTCAAGTCCCTGCTGATGGCTTATTACGGGAATCCCGCCTCTGCTGTAGGCGCAGCCATCTTGTGATGGTGTAAGGGTTAATTTGCATATTACCTCTTTATTATATAGGGTTAAAGGAATGTTGGTCAAAACAGTGAATCATGGATTAGTCACTTTGGTGATTTGCCAACTTTTTAAAATCTTATTTGATAACACCCAGTGTTGGTAAGAGTGTGGGGGAGTAGGTACTGTCATTACTGTGGGTAGGAGTGTGGCTTGCTGCAACCTTTCTGGGAAGTAGTTTGGTAATACATATCAGAATGTCAACTGCACAGCCCTTTCTTTGACCCAGCAATTCCACTGGTAGGGATTAATCCCTAGATATCCATGCACAGATATCCATTATAGCATTCCTCATAATTTCAAACTGCACAATTAAAATTCTGTAAGACGAGAACTGCTTAAGTTATGATAAATCCATATAGCAGGAAACTAAGAGCCATTTGAACAGAATGAGAAGTCGTTTTATACTGATGTGTTGTCTTAGTCCACTTGGGCTCCTATAACAAAATAAATAGAATTTTATTCCTCAATGTTCTGGAGGCTGGGAAGTCCAAGGTCAAGGGGGCAGAAAATTCAGTGTCACTCCCTGGTTCATAGGTAGAATTCCCTGTCCTGTCTTTACAGGGAATTCTGGGTATCTCTTTTATAAGGGAATTAATCCCACTCATGTGTGTATTAGTTCCTCTCCCCATTTTCCCCCTCCCCCAGTTAGCTAAAAACAAAATTCTACATTAATGAGGTCAAGCAGAGAATCTGTTTACATACTTCTATACATTTACGTAGTTTTCTTTCCTTTTTGAAACTGCAAATATCTAAATAGTTTGTTTTTTGGTCTATTCTTGTTTTAAATTATTTTAAAATATATATTTTATTGATTTTTTTTATAGAGAGGAAGAGAGAGGGATAGAGAGTTAGAAACATCGATGAGAGAGAATCATCAATCAGCTGCCTCTTGCACACCCCCTACTGGGGATGTGCCTGAAACCAAGGTACATGCCCTTGACCGGAATCGAACTCGGGACCTTTCAGTCCACAGGCCAATGCTCTATCCACTGAGCCAAACCGGTTTTGGCTATTTTTGTTTTAAATTATGATGAAATATGTTAAGAGGCATAAACCATAAACTAATACTTCATTCTTAAAACACTGTCTTACCTCTTAAAATTATTAATAACTACTTGATATTTTGGCACCTTCTACAAAAGAAGCAGAATGATGTGATAGGAAAAATAGCAGAGGCTTTGGAGTCATAGAAACCTAGATTCAAGTCCCATTGTAATAAAAACTTTTATTTTGACCTTGGCATACTTGCTTGAAATCAACTGAACTTGGATATCAATCCCTATATTTGCAAAAGGGTTTATTCATATTTAGTAATTATATACCAGGGACATTATATACTCAAGAAACATTTATTTCTTCTCTTGGCATCTCTCCCTATCTCTCATTGTTGACTTCCAATCTTTGATTTTGTAGTCTGGTTCTTTTATCTTATACTTTTATCTCATACTTAGTATTTAGTAATACTTAGATATAGATTAGAGTGATATTATAAATACCACTGATAAATCTGTTGGGTTTTCAGACACTGGCGGAATGAAGAGCTAATGCCATGATGAGTGGTGGGTGGTTCTTACTCTTGGCACACTCATTCCTGCTAGCCTTGCTCTGGGGAACGAATGCCCCACCCACTAACGCCCACAGGCAGGAGACTCTGGTGGCACTGTGGGACCCGTCTCAATTTTCTTAGTGATCAGTAAGTTTCTCTTTGGGATGGCGTTGTTACTCATTTTTCTTTCTTTTGTAGCACTGCACAAGATTTGTGATGAAATGGAGCCTGGAACAAACTCTTTTCGAGTAGAATTTCCTGATTTTTCCAGCACCATTCTGCAGAAACTGAACCAGCAGCGCCAGCAAGGACAATTATGTGATGTCTCCATTGTTGTGCAAGGCCACATTTTCCGGGCACACAAAGCTGTTCTTGCTGCCAGTTCGCCCTACTTTTGTGACCAGGTGCTTCTGAAAAACAGCAGGAGGATTATCCTGCCGGACGTGATGAACCCGAGAGTGTTTGAGAACATCCTCCTGTCTAGTTACACGGGACGGCTAGTCATGCCCGCTTCGGAGATTGTTAGTTACTTAACAGCGGCAAGCTTCCTGCAGATGTGGCATGTGGTAGACAAATGCACTGAGGTTTTGGAGGGAAACCCTACAGTCCTTTGTCAAAAGCTAAATCACAGCAGTGACCACCAGTCTCCGAGCAGCAGTAGCTACAATGGCCTGGTAGAGAGCTTCGAGCTGGGCCCTGGGAGCCATACCGACTTCCCCAAATCCCAAGACCTGAGGGATGGGGAGAACGAAGAGGAGAGCACCAAAGACGAGCTGTCATCTCAGCTCACCGAGCACGAATACCTCCCCAGCAACTCGTCCACAGAGCATGACCGGCTGAGCACGGAAATGGCAAGCCAGGACGGGGAGGAGGCGGCCAGCGACGGCGCCGAGTTCCACTACACCCGGCCCCTGTACAGCAAGCCCAGCATAATGGCGCACAAGCGCTGGATCCACGTGAAGCCCGAGCGCTTTGAGCAGGCGTGCGAGGGCATGGACGTGCACGCAGCCTACGATGAGCATCAGGTCACCGAGTCCATCAACAACCTGCAGCCGGAGCACTCGGTCCAGCCTTCGGGAGTGGAGGATGACTTCCACATTGCGGAGCAAAAAGTGGAAGCAGAGTTTGACGAACAGGCTGATGAGAGCAATTATGATGAGCAGGTGGATTTCTACGGCTCTTCCATGGAAGAGTTTTCTGGAGAGAGGGCAGAGGGCAGTCTAATTGGGCACAGACAGGAGGCTGCCCTCCCAGCAGGCTACGGTGAGAATATCGACATGGTAACGGGGATTAAAGAAGAAGCTTCCCACTTGGGATTCTCGGCCACTGACAAGCTGTACCCTTGTCAGTGTGGGAAAAGTTTCACTCACAAGAGCCAGAGAGATCGACACATGAGTATGCACCTCGGTCTTCGGCCTTATGGCTGTGGGGTCTGTGGTAAGAAATTCAAAATGAAGCATCACCTCGTGGGCCACATGAAAATTCACACGGGCATAAAGCCATACGAGTGTAATATCTGTGCAAAGAGATTTATGTGGAGGGACAGTTTCCACAGGCACGTGACTTCTTGTACCAAGTCTTACGAAGCTGCAAAGGCTGAGCAGAATACAACGGAGGCTAACTAAAAATAGTGTCTGGCCCTTGAGTGGCAGGCACCAAAATAAAAGATGGTAATTATGCAAATCTGGGCACAGATGATGTGTGCTACTTGCTATTATGAGAGAAGCTTAAAAAAAAATAAAAAAGGAAGATATTTCTGAAAGACCAGTTCTAAGTAGGCCAATTAAAAAAATCCAATTGCTCAGATTTGTGTGCTCTAGTCCAGGGCTGGAGTAGGTAATGGGGGTAAGTTAACCCACCTTCCAGCTGGCCGGGGACCCCTTCAGGCTTGTGATTGGGGCAGGTGGACTTGGCGATGGAGATGCCTGCACTCGGAACTGGACGCTAACCCGCCAGTTCCATTCAGGTGGGAGCTGTTTTTGATCACCTATTACAAGGTCACGGAAGCTTATTTTGCTCTTACTCTAGATACTTAGATAATGTGGATTTGTTTCAGTAGCTGCTTTACTGAAGGAAATGCTACTTAGTAAAAGCTACAAACAATGTGATTCTTAGGATACGAAATGAACAGCTTTCGTCTGGTTTTATTCTTTATAAAAGGGTATTTTAACTAAAACTAAGGAGATAGTAAGAGGGTGACAGTTGAAGCATAAAACAGTTTATGGTACAAGCTTCGATTTCTGTAAGATGCCACTGTCACAGTGTGTTTCAGACTCTTGATAAGGCAGAATTTTGTATCTAGTGCTAGCATTTAGTTTGAACAATTGTATCTAATTATAATTCTCTAGTGTGCCAGAGATAGGTATTTTTAATTGGCTTGCTGTCCCAAATCCGTTATGTTTTAACTGTAGCATCCACACAGTGGGACTTGCTCTACAGCTAGTAGACGTCTAGCCTGCTGTGATTGACCATGGTACCGTTGGCTGCTGTAGCCTTCTGCTCTTAGATTATGGTCCTTCCCAAAGAGGTCAGTCAGTGACCAGTTAGTGGGAAGGAGCCAAAAGTCACAGCTGAGAATTACCTGTAAACTTCATAAGTAAATAGAGTGCTGCAATGACACTCCCCCCAACTGTCAGAGTGAGAGTTACCAAGTATTATAGCAGAATTGTGAGTGGCAGGTCAAGGTAGAGGGGGAGAAACCACACAAGAAAAGAGGAGTCTTGGAAATGCATCCGTAGGGGAGTTATTTATTCCCTTCAAGGGTCACACTGAGCTAAGGCTGCCAGGTCTTTTAGGAGTGCTGGGATGTATTTTAAAAGGGGGAAAAGGAGTCCTAATTTTAGAAAGTAGTCTACAGATCCATGCTCCCAAATTATAGATAAAGCCGCATAAATTTACAAGTCCACATAGCCACCTACCAAAAACAACAAGCTGAGCAGCTATTCTGAGACCTTTTCTCCAATCACATGTTTCAGGGTGAAAAGCAAGCCTGTGTTCAGGATGCTCTTAAGCTATGTAACACATCTGAAGTTCTCACCAGGGTAGGACAGGGTGCTATTCCATGTCAGCTTCTCCACAAACTTCCTGGTCTATTCCTTCCAAGTGGAACCCTTTTTCCCCTGAAAATAAAAATAACTTTTCTTGGATTTGGGATGAAATTTTGTTTTCCAAGTTGGGTTTGCTGTAATGTGACAGACATTGCTGGCAATGGCCTCTGGCCCTTAAGCTTCTACCATCAGGTGTTTACTTGTTGAACGTTGTCTAGAAAGAGGAAAGTTCTTACCAGTTAACTCTTGTAATCAAGATTACAAAACAGGGATCCACTCAGTAACACTGTATCATTCTCGATATATAAAAAGCACTTTGTATTTAAAACTTTATTATAATACATATATATATATAGTATATATATATATTGATTTTTTTAACCTAGAAACTAGCTATTACCTCTTGGTTGTTTGCCACGTTAATATTCTCTTCATGTTGAAACTTCACCATGACCAGCCCTTTCTCTGTGGACCTGACAGAGGGACTGACAACCAAGCCCGGCGGCTCCTGTCCTTTCTCTCATCAGAAGCCAGGGGTTGTAGGTCTGATCCTAGCCAGTGTGTGTGAGGAGAAGCTGCTTCCTCCCCCTCATACTGCAGCGCTAAAGGCGAAGAAGCCCTTTGTTCTGCCAGCAGCTGATGGCCCTCTTCCATGGTAGCAGCAAACCAGTGTCTGCCTGTGTGGAAGGTGCGACATCCTCTTTCTCATTAAAGATTATATTCACACGGGCATTGGGACATGGGAGGAGCAGAGTCCCAGAGGTAAAATTAAAACACAGTATCAGTCCTTCAGTTACGCGGAGGTCAGCCAGCACCCACGTCATGAGTAATGAAGTGCCCGCTCTGGGCCAGGAGGGGGAGGGGCAGCCCCCTGGTGTCACTTGGAAACAGTCAGTGGTGCTGGGACTTACTCCATGAGTTGTGAAGATGTGTCTTCTGTTGGCATCCTTACATGCACATCAGCTTGGGACAGTTTCATAGACTCGGCTTTGGGGTAGGAGGTCATGCTGTATTACTACCCGTTTTCCCTCCTCCCCTGGGTTGGATAGTCTGTCTCCTTAGCCTCTACAGCTTTAGAAAATCTTTCTCCTTCCAAAGTGTGGGTGGCTGTGGGTAACATTTTCCAAGCAGTCTTTCAGGGATCATGTCAGTGGCCTACAACCAAGGTCTTTGTCCTCCTCTTTGAGTCTTCACTGTGGTTTGATCACTCCCAATGGGAAAGGGCTTCAAGGCACCACCAGTGGTATTTAATGTGAGCACTGATACCATGCCTTTTATTTAGATGCACACATTACAGTAATTCCCTGGGTGAGTAGGCGCCACTGTCTACGGAAGGACTGCGCAGCCTTCCTCTAGTGGAGGGTCACCCTCAGGCGCTCCGGGGCCCAGCCTGTTGATTCTGATCCAGATCTCACCTTCCTTCGGTCTCCTCTCCTGGCCACAACTCTCAGAGAGTCTTCCCAGGAGGCTTCCCTCCTTCCTAGTGAGCTTTTCTGGAGTAAACTGGCCCTACGCTGGCTTCTAGCTGTTTGGGAAAGCTGCTGAGCCTCAGCGGCTCCTTCCGAGGGAGGAGGCACGCACGTCCCCCAGCCGCCTGCCCCGAGCTGTGCTGTCCTGGGGAGGGGGGTTGGCTGCAGTCCCCTGGTCACCGAGAGTGAGGAGGACTCCATCACACCCAACCCAGGCGTTTGCCTTTAAAAGGTCTCTGATCATTGAGGAGTGCTGGACACCAAGCCCACAGTACCCTCCTTCAGCCCCCACCCCATCTGTGCCACAGTTACTTTTGTGTTTAGGTTGCTTTCCTGGGTGACTAACTTTATTCAGTGAAATCAGGGTTTGTTTGAGTTTTTTTCTTTGCTACTTATATATTTAAAGGTACATGTTTCTTATTTTAGATCTCTACTGATAGTATTCCGTGGGAAGATACTGGAACACATTTTGCAAATGTGACTTTATTTTTTAGTTTTGCTTAAAGCCTGTGTCACATGTCAGTTGCTGCTGCCTTCTTTCCTTTTATGAGGTTCCAGAAAATTACTTTATTTATGCAAGTCAGGTGGCTCTTAGGCCATGAAACCATTCAATGATAAACAGATTATCACTAGGTGCATATCTTATTGATATTTTGTGAACTGTTATGCCTGTGTTGCAAAAGTTGAATAGTTTTGTCGATATATATTGCTGTCTTCAGTGTACAGCATGGTTTTACTTAACTGAATGTTACTGTTTAATATTTTCTTCTTATAGAAGAGACCATGCCCTTTTGTATGACATGTTTTAATAAACGTTATATGTCAATTTCGTAAAAGTTTTTTCACTCTGGGTGAAACATGTTTTTGTTTTCATTCTGGCTTTTGGCACCTGAGAATAAAAGTTACATTGTGGCCTTTCAAGAGTCAAATGCCAAATAGGCGGGCAGATGGAATAGCTGGTGAGTGACTATTTGCCATGCCACTTAGGATGATGCTCTCGTTAAAACCTGCCAGCCCCAGCGTGTGCGGGGTGTGCTGGCTGTTCTCGGCTCCTTCAGGCCCAGCCCCTCTGGCCAGGATCTGCCAGATGTGCTGGAAGGAGCTTGGCACTTAGGTGGAGAGGCTGGGGGAGTACTCTCCTGGCTTCCTGCCAGGTGTGGGTGGACGGAGGCTGGGCTCCTCCGCCAAGGGCCACCGCTCCTGTCGGGCAACTTCAGGTTTGGTAACCACACCCTGCCTCTATCACTTCAAGCCGAGGACTGGTCCTGGCTCCCCGTTTGCCAGGCCTTAGGGGCTTCTCTGCCCTCGCAGGAGTCCCTTAACCCCACCCACGCCCTGTGTAAGCAGTCCCCTTATGACTGGTAACGCATCCCAGCTGAATATGCCACGTGCTTCATGCCAGGCCCCTGGCTGATGCCCCCAGTCTGTTCATGTCACACGTGCAGCTGCTGGGACTCAGAGAGGCAGGTGTTCCCAGAGGCAGGAAGGACAGTGGCCAGAGCAGAGCGGGGATGCGAATACAGAGCTTCGTGGCTGCAGCCCGCGGTCGTGGCTTTTCCTCTGCTCCATAATCCATGCTCTTTGGAGGGGCTCTGCCTCACCTCACTCTGCCCTTCCCCAGCCCTCCCCCTAAGGAAGAAAGCCCGGAAGGAACAGCAGCAGTGCCCTTTAAAAGTGCCGCAGGCGCTGCGAGCCCCACATACTTCCTCACAACAGCTCATTACCCACGACGCTGCTTGTTTTAGACCAAACTTACCATCTTCCCACACACCTTCTGTTACCACTGTTTGTTGTGAGGTTTCCCCTCCCCATCGCTGATGGTGAAGCTGCAGCTAGCCTGGCCACCCTCTGCTTTGAAGAAGTCCAGAAGAACCGTTCCCAGCTTTTCCCCCCAAGGTAGGGCCTGTCCATCCTGACCAAGGGCAGACAGCTCCGTCTCTGGGGCATGTGACCCCTCTGACCCCTCCCTTCACCCACTCCCCCCCCCCCAGAGGACTCTGCTGAGGCCTGTGGTTACCAGCAGTCCAGCCCTCCTAGCAAGCAGGTTTTTTCACCGGGGACTTGTGGGGTGTGGAGGTGAGAAGCCCTGTCTCCTGATCAGGAGAAAGGAAAGCTGAAGTGGTTTATTTGTCTTTGGGGACAGAGTGGGGTAGGAGGTGAGCATGTGACACATGTGCAGTTTACTTAGATTTCCTCGCAGTCAGCTCGGGGACAGCTTCCCTCCCCCCGCGGAGCAGCCCTTGAGCCCGGCTCCATGCCTGGGCATCCCGGAGGGTGCCCAGCGCTCGGATTTTCCCACAGTCAGCGGAGCAGTAAGCAAGTCAGCAGCAGGAGATGAGGTAAGCTTGAACTTGATGTACCAGTCATTCATTATTTGGTAAATGATTTTAAGTATGTTCTTTCTCTACAGAGAGCGAAAGAGAACTCTGTGCCCTTTGAGCTTTACATTGTTCTTTTTAAGAAAACTTGGACAGCGTTCTGTGTTTATAGAGTTCAGTAAATGAAGATGGGCAGGTGTGGCATTCCCCCCCTTCATGAGAAACCCGAAAGGGAGTGAAGTTGGGGAGAGAAATTCCACCATCTTTTTCTGAACTGGTTTGACTAGTTTGAATCAAAACCAAACAATTGGACCCTGGCTGGTGAACTCAGTGGTTAGAGCATCATCCTGTGCACCAAAAGGTCTAGGGTTCAGTTCCTGGTCAAAGACACATATCTGGGTTGCAGGCTTGATCCTCAGCCCCAGCCAGGGCCCATGCAGGAGACAACCGATTGTGTCTCTTTCACATCGATGTTTCTCTTTGTCTCTTCTCTCTCAGTCTCCCTCTCTTCCTTCCTCCCTTCCACACTCTCTTTAAAAAAAAAAAAAATCAATGGAAAAAATATCCTCGGGTGAGGATTAACAAAAGAAAAAAATGTTTTTTATTTTATAATCTTCTGCCACTTTCTTGTACCACTGCCAGTGGCTTGATGCAATTACAGGAAAATCACAGCTGTCCTTTGAGGGAGTATGTGGGCTCTATAGAAACACAGGAACTTATAAGCAGTATTATAGGTAAACATATTTTATAAAACAGTGGCTTTTTAGACTCCAGGGATTATGAGTTCTGATTTTTCTCATATTCCAAAATAAGAAACCAGTACTAAAGCCATTAGATGTATTTATAACTTAATAAGATACTAGTTAGTCCCCAGAATATACTGGTCTGCCTAATGTAACAGCTACCCTTATTAATGGAAGCTAAAGCCTGCCTCTTGTTACTTTGTGAAGTCAGGAGTGCTGTAATAAAAATCTCACTTTTAGGGTTTGCTGAAATGATCTTCAACTGCATGGCAGTTCACTCACAATGGTGAATGCCAAAGCTGCTAAAACTCCGGCAGGATTTGACTTCATAGAAACCATAGGCTTGCCGAAACCGGTTTGGCTCAGTGGTAGAGCGTCAGTCTGCGGACTGAAAGGTCCCGGGTTCGATTCCGGTCAAGGGCGTGTACATTGGTTGCGGGCACATCCCCAGTAGGGGGTGTGCAAGAGGCAGCTGGTCGGTGTTTCTCTCTCATCGGCGTTTCTAGCTCTCTATCTCTCTCCCTTCCTCTCTGTAAAAAAAATCAATAAAAACATATTAAAAAATAAAAAGAAAGAAAGAAAGAAACCGTAGGCTTTTAAGTGACAGCAATGACCTTGAACTAAACTAGATAGGGTTAATTTTCACCTTATTTATATAGTATGGAATAACTTTTGTCTACTCACAATATGAAGATAATATTGCTTGGAGAATTTAATTGTAATTCTATATACTTATTGGGCTCTGAACCCCTATTTAACCCACTGAACACTGTACCGACTTAAACAGGTGTAAGAATTGTGATTATGGACGGAAAATAACAGCTCTGAGCGAAGGTTTCATTGCATATTTAAGTGTGCTAAATTCTTAACTTGCATTAATTCATTTATTCCTCATCACAGTCCTATGAGGGAGAATTTTATTTCAGGCCCCTCACAAAGCAGAAAAGGATGACAGCTTCCATGCTGGTGGGGAGATGTGGTCCCATCCCGCCTGGGCCAGCAGGGCTGTCTGTGTCTGAAGGCAAGGTTCGCACAGTTGTTCCTCTCCATCTGCGGAGCATGAGCACAGCCTCTGGTGCTGGGGAGCACAGGCCTGGTGGGATTAGCCTCTGATGCCTGTAGGTGACGGTGACTCACCGGCAGTCCTCCGGTTGCTCTTTGCTCTCTTATGAGAAACGCTGTTCCGGAGGTCCTCCAAGATGGCTGCGCCCAGGTGAATACCTAGCTGCAGCCTCACACAACAATTTCAATAAAATACAACTAAAATATAAAATGGACATTATCCAGAACCACAGGAAAGTCGACTGACTGGAAATTCTACAACGAGAAGCAAGGAGAAAACCATAAGGAAGCGCGGAGGAGCTGGAAAAGCCCAAGGTACGGAGACACGCGGCGCACGGAGAGGACGGAGCCGGAGAGGAGGGAGGCTGAGTGCCTGGCTGGCGTTCCCCAGCGGGAAGGAGATAAAACTCCGACTGTGCTGGGCCCCAGACTGCTCTGAACCCCAGGCCTAGGCCAGACCCCGGGGACTCAGGCTCAGCCAGAGGGAGCCGGGCTGAAAGGCGGAACCCGGGGAAGCCGCGAAAGGGGGTCCCGGCGGCGGCGCGCAGTTCGCTCAGAGAAGGGACGGCCGGCTGTGCCGCGGGATTGCCTGGCGGGAAGGAGACAGGGGCTCCAGTCTGCTCTGAACGCCACCTCCAACTCCACTTCCAACTGAACTGAACCCCAGTACCGGGCTCATTGGGGAGAGCATTGACTGTTTGGCAGCAGGCGAAAACCGAGGGCACCTTTCTCTCAGAGGCGCCGGCAGCGAGCACTGAAGGACCCGCATAGGGCGGGGCTGAGGGAAGCCAAAGCTGCAGGCTCCACCCTGAAACCCCGCCCCATCTGTAACTGTGAAATGCGACAACGAAATAGATCACAAACGAAAGAAATGGAGGACAAAAAGCGGCTGGATATAGAGTTCAAATCTACGCTTATAAGGTTTTTCAAGAATTTCCTAGAAAAGATGGATAAGACCTATGAGGATATGAAAAGAAATCAACTAGAATTAATAAGGAGTCAACAAGAAATGATAAGGGAACAACAAGAAATAAAGAATACATTGTCTGAAATAAAAAATATTTTACAGAGTCCTAAA